AGGATAATTCAACAGGCTCAATCATAAGGCTTGCATGCAGGAGGCCCCATTTCAATCCCTGGCACTGCATATGGTTCTGACTTCTGTAAGGAGTATCCTCTGAGCATTGCTGAGTGTGACCTCCCCAACCTCCTTGGGGAAAAAAAATCAGTGAATTGAATAATTCTATGACTCTGAAATCCTATTTTAAGGTACGTCAAAAATTCATTAGTATTTCTTGCCTCTTTTCCGACACTTGGTTCAATAACGGAAGCTAGACTTTCTGTGACTGGTGTGGTGATTTTTGGTATTTCTGTTCCATTTCTATGGGCCGAGCCTGAATGCCAGAAGAGGTACTGTCCAGCAGGGAATAGCACTGTGACTGAGACACTGCAAGCATCATGGGACTGGATACAGATCACTGAGAACATTCCCCTGGGATGGTGGTGCTTGAGAACTATATGGGATGCTGGGGATTGAACCCAGGTTGGCCACATGCAAGGTCAACATCCTACCTGGTGTATTATATCTCTAGTCTCAGACCTAATTTTTAAAATATTTTCTATTACTGGTTAGTGCCATAGGGCTAATCGGCCATTGAAGGGCTCACTCAGCATTATTTTAGGCATTAATTATGTGCTGGTTTTCCTGCTTGGATCTTGGGGTTGGGGAGGTGACTTCAAATTCCTGCTGGGTATAGAGAATATAGTGGTGAATAAGAAAAATTAAGCAAAATGAACAACAATTTGAATACAGTGGGTTATATGTGTGATGGGATCCAGTAATACTAAAAGAGCAAGAAATTGAGGCCTTGACTTGGCCCGGGGAATTGCTTTGTATTTCAACTCCCTGCCTCCTCCAGCCTCTATACTGGTATGGTGTTTTAGAATACTCAACACTAGCATGGTGTTTTAGAATAAGGGCATTTCTTCCTTATTTGTATCACCAGAGGCCTTCAGTCCTCCTCTATTTTCAAGAATGAGGAAACATGTAGCCTAGGAAAAGAAGGGGAAACCAGAAGCGAAAAAGAAGCAAAGATGTACCACGGGCTAAGAGGTGTGAGATTTGAGATGCCTGCTGGGGAGGAAGGCTCTGGATTTCCAGCACGGTCCAAGCTGTATTTTAAAGTGCTCCATGAGCTCCCCCTGGTGGCTTTAGGCTTATAATGCAGTCGATGGAGGGATCTTGGGGTTGGAGATGTGACTTCAAATTCCGCTTTCAGTAGTCTCTCTCTCCCTCTCGCTCCCTCTCCTTTTAGTAGCAGTCCCTTTCTCCTCTCCCTCTTCCTCCATCCTGAACTCTTTCTCCCTGTCTCCCCCATTCAAATAGGATTTCTTCCCCTTTATCTCTTGCTTCTCCTCCTGGAACTCCTATGATGCCACTGTACTCTCTTGATATCCTCTATGTAAGTGTAGTGCGTGTTACCTTTTTTTGTTTTTTTCCCCCCTAGTATTTTTGGATGATTTCTGCTACATTATCTTTGAACTCACTGATCTAGTTTTTGTGCTGGAGCGATAGCACAGTGGTAGGGCGTTTGCCTTACAAGCGACCAACATGGCCGACCCGAGTTCGATTCCTCCGCCCCTCTCGGAGAGCCCGGCAAGCTACCGAGAGTATCTCGCCCGCATGGCAGAGCCTGGCAAGCTACCCATGATGTATTCGATATGCCAAACACAGTAACAATAAGTCTCATGATAGAGACGTTACTGGGCCCGCTCGATCAAATCGATGAACAACGGGAGGACCGTGACCGTGATCTAGTTTTTGGCTGCTTCCATTTTGTTGAGCCCCTCTTGTATATTTTAGTTCAGCTAATGTATTGTTGAGCTGTATGATTTCTGCTTATACTTTTCTAAAAATTCTCATGCATGTCCCTTTATTGCAGTTCTCTTCCATTGAGCCCATTTGAGTAGCATCAGTAGGAATGTTGCTTTGAAGTCTTCAGGTAGTCTGTCATGCTAGTTCTATTATATTAGTTATATCATAATCCTATAGAGTATGACAGTGACATAATTCTGTCATAGTAGTTCTTTCAGGAGTGACATAATTCTGTCATAGTAGTTCTTTCCAGACTGTCATTTTGATGCATTGGTGTTGGTGAGTTCCTCTAGTTCCCCCTACCTCTGCTGCTCCCTGAGGGCTTGGGTGGAGACCAGAAGAATCTGCCCACTGCAGGTACCTGGCCCTGGTTATGGTATCAAGTTCAAACAGGCCTTGGCCATGGTTGGAGTGGGCCTAAGTGCCTCTGTCCAGCTGACCTGGCTGATGTCTGGGAACCTCTGCTGGGATCGGTTTAAGAGTTGGCCAAGACAACAGTCCCAGCTGATGACGGTGCATGCCAGGGCTGGCAGGGAGCAGAGTTTGGCTTGCTAAGAACTCGCCCTGGTGCATGGTAGGCAGTGAGGTTTACTTTCTCTCAGTAAGTGGACTTGTGAGGGCTGCACCTTCTTTTTGCTGCCCCTTGGCAGTCCGGATCACTATATCTCAGCCCCCAGTTAGCTACTTGCTAGGGGTGGAGGTGTTGGGGACTCTCCTGAGATTTGACCTCTGGGTTTGTTGCTAACTTGGCACCCCCTGCAAAGCTGTTAGCATGGTTCACAGCCAGGGACGCAGTAGATAAAGTGCCTGCTGGCAGCGTCAGTCCCAGCTTACACCCTGGAGTTTCTTATATCCTGTTTCAAAGCTGTAAGGTCAGGATAGTCGGATTAGGTGCTAGGTGTTCAGTGCATGCACCCCTGCTTTCAGGATATGGTTTTGCACCTTAGAAATGGCTTCCTGAACCAGAGATGTATGATGGCCCCTGAGCACTATGTGTAGTCATCCCTGAGCACAGAGCTGGGAGTAGCTCTTGAGCACTGTGAGGTGTACCCCCCCCAGCAACAAAAAGAAAAAAATGTCTTGCGAGTTGTAGTTTGTTGCCCCCTGTGGGTTTCTGTCTTGGCAGAGGGGCGTTATCTGTCTACGTTCAGTCTGGGTGTGACCCTTTTCCCTCTTGCTTTCTACATAGAAGTTTTGTTCATGGGATTTCAGGTCATTTTGGGTGTAGATTAATGCAGTTTTTGTGAGGATGTGTTTCGATTGTGGGAGGAAGTAAACACAACTTCTCACTATTGAATTCTTTTATCCTGCTGCCCATTGGCTATTTTATTTTCTCATCTCTCCAGTGGTACTTGGGGCCACCAAGACTCCTGCCCCCTCGCCATTCCCCCCCTTCCACAATATTTTCAGGAGACCATTTAGTACCCAAGTATCAAATCTCCCTTTGATCTATCCCCCTGGCTACACTAATTGGTTATTGAATGGTGACTTAGCCTGGTATATTAGGGATAAATCCCATTTGGTCATGGTATATAATTCTTTTAAAATACTGTTTACTTGATTTGCTACCATTTTATTGAGAATTTATATAACTGTCTCCGCAAGAGATATGAAGTCTGTAATTTTATTATGTCTTTATTTTATTTTGTTATTAGCCAGGCCTCATGGAATGAGTACTGCCTCTGCTTCTAACTTCTGGTAGAAGATGTAGAAAATTGAGATAATATAGTAGAAGTATTGGTGAATACATCTAGATTTGGTGCTTTCTGTTTTGGAAGTTTATTACTGGCTTATTTCAGATTATCTACTTCTTGTCTATGTTTTGGTCAATTATATTTTTTCAGGGAGTTTTATTTCATTTAGATGATCAAATTTGTGGTTATAGAATTTTTTAAATATTCCTGTTAATAATCTTGGGATCTTTAGTTGTGTTCTCCCATTTATCTCTCAGTTAATGTCTGTGTTCTTGGTAAGTCTCACTAGATGCTTACTGATTTTACTGATCTTTTCAAATAGCCAACTTTGGTGCCATTGATTTTTGCTCAAATTGTTATTCTTTAGCTGTTTTAATTTGCTCCTCTTTTTAGAATTTTATTAATTTTTTAGTATGCTTTTGGGGCCACACCTTGCTATATGCCCAGTGCTTACATTTGGCTGTGCCTCAGGGATCAGTCCGGCAGCTTCGGGGGTTGAACTTGAATTACCTTTGGTGTTTGGGGGATACTAGGGGCACCATGGATTGAACCTAGGTCAGCCACATTGCAAGGCAAGTGAGGTACCACTGTACTGTCTCTCGTGAACCTTGCTCTTGTTTTTGTAGATACTGATAGTGAAAACTTATATTACTTGTTTTAGATCTTTGTAAATTTTCTTCTAAGCATTGCTTTTGTTAACGCCTGAAACTTGATCAAGTTGTGATTTCATTTTCAGTCACCTAGAAGTATTTAAAATCTTTTTTCAAGAGTTCTTCTTTCAGTTGGAGTGATAGTACAGCAGGTAGGGCATCTGCCGTGCATGCTGCTGACCTAAGTTTGATCCCCGGCATCCCATAGGTCCCCCAAGTACTGCTAGGAGTAATTCCTGAGTGCAGAGCCAGGAGTAACCCCTGAGCATCGACAGGTGTGACACTCTCCCCCCCAAAAAATTCTTCTTCTGTCTCGTAGATCTTGCAGCTCACCGTTCCTCTAACAAGGATGAGGGACTCATATCACCTTTAAGTCACAAACGATCATTTTTGCTTATAATCAACTTAGATATGTCTAATTTTTTTTAAAAAAAAAAACAGGAACTAATGCATTTTTATCAGAACAACAACCAGGCAAGCTGTTGATGGCAACATTTTACTGAATAAAAAAACTAAGACTCGTTACTCAGTGATCTATAGAAGATTTACCTTATGACGAGGCAGGGTGTGGGGTGGAGCAGGGGACACAACCGCCTTCTTACCTCTCCTTTTCATGCTGCCTCTGAGGCATTTTTCATTAGGGAGCCAGCAGGTATCTGCTCAGAATTATACAAATACGAGCCAGTGTTTTCCTGCCGGTTTAATTTCATTGATTGAGATTTGAGCATCTTTATTCTAGACTCAATCAAGGATTCCTTGTGGGCAGGGAGGGGCGCTTTTTTGAAATCACTGGGAGCTGAAGGGCAGAATTTAGTTTTACCTAAAACCTGTTGACTTCCTTTCTGCTTTCCTTTTGCAGACTGATAATGATTTCCAGCTGCCAACAAAGGTGGTGGATACCAAGAGAAAGGTAACCATTTCTCATCCTCCTGAGTGGAATTGGCTGCCTCTAGGAGCCCACAGTGGCTGGCAGGAGAGATGGCTGAATTAGCAAGCTATAAGGATTCTGCCTCCAGCCGCCACCTGCGATTTAAGTTACAGAGTCTGAGCCGCCGCCTTGATGAGTTGGAGGAGGCCACCAAAAACCTCCAGAAAGCAGAGGAGGAGCTCCTGGATCTGCAGGACAAGGTGATTCAGGCGGAGGGCAGCAACTCCAGCATGCTGGCTGAGATTGAAGTGCTGCGTCAGCGGGTGCTGAGAATTGAAGGCAAAGATGAAGAAATTAAGAGAGCAGAGGATCTGTGTCAGCTGATGAAGGAGAAACTCGAAGAGGAGGAAAACCTCACCCGGGAGCTGAAATCAGAGATTGAGCGGCTTCAGAAACGCATGGCCGAACTAGAAAAGCTGGAGGAAGCCTTTAGCAGGAGTAAGAATGACTGTACCCAACTCTGTTTAAGCCTGAATGAGGAGAGAAATCTGACAAAGAAAATCTCCTCAGAGCTGGAAATGCTCAGGGTTAAGGTGAAAGAACTGGAATCTTCTGAGGATCGGCTGGATAAAACTGAACAGAGTTTGGTGTCAGAGCTGGAGAAGCTAAAAACATTGACTCTGCACTTCGTCAGCGAGAGAAAATACTTTAATGAAAAAGACAAAGAAAATGAGAAGTTAATTAAAGAGCTCACTCAAAAACTGGAACAGAACAAAAAAATGAACCGAGATTATAGCAGGAATGCTTCGAATCTTTTGGAAAGGAATGACCTGCGGATCGAGGATGGCATCTCCTCCACGTTGCCTTCCAAAGAGTCAAGAAGGAAAGGCACGCTGGACTACCTGAAGCACGTAGAGAATGAAACAAGAAACAGGTCAGAAAACGAAAAGAACCGAAATCAGGAAGACAACAAAGTCAGAGACTTGAACCAAGAGATCGAGAAACTTAAGACACAGATCAAACATTTTGAGTCTCTGGAAGAAGAGCTGAAGAAAATGCGGGCCCGAAATAATGACCTTCAGGATAACTACCTGACCGAACAGAATAAAAACAAGCTCCTCGCCAGCCAGCTGGAGGAGATAAAGCTGCAAATCAAGAAACAGAAGGAGCTAGAGAATGGGGAGGTGGAAGGGGAAGACACTTTCCTGAACAGCAAGGGCAGGCATGAGAGGACTAAGTTCAGAGGCCACGGGAGTGAGGCAGCTGTGTCCAAGCACACCCCCCGAGAACAGTCTCCTCAGCACAAGCGGGAGAGGCCCCGCTGTAGGGAGTTTCCTCTTAGCAATGAAAACTATTCTCTGAGCAACAGGCAGGTTTCTTCTCCCAGTTTCCCCAGCAGGAGAACAGGAAAAGCATCCAACATGGGGGCAGGAGCAGACAGTGGGACTCAGGAGACAAAGAGAACCGAAGACCGATTTGCATCCGGCTCTGCTCAGAGTGAAGGGAAGAAGTCCAGGGAGCAGCCCTCGGTGCTTAGCCGCTACCCACCCGCAGCTCAGGAGCACAATAAAGTTTGGAAGGGGGCTGCCAAACTGGGCACGGAGAGTGGGCTGAAGGGGAAAGTGGAAAAGACAACACGAACATTTGGAGACTCCACCCATGGATCTGTTCCCGGTGACGTTTTGGGTAGAGCTGACAAGGCTCCCGATGCCGCCTCTGAAGCCCTCTATGGCAAGAGGGGTCAAGGGTCTGGCAATGGAAGTCAGATAACTCAGGCCACTGAGTCAAGCAGTTCTAAGGCTGTTGGAGCTCTGGCCTCTTCTAAAAGAGCTTCCCCAGAGGGGTTTTCTAAAGGCAAAAAAGCACCCAATGGACTGGAGTCTGATACGGGTTCCCCAACTTCTAAGACACCGCCTTTATCAAAGTATCCATTTAACTCCAAAAGCCAAGAGAACATCCTTCAGGGCGGTTCAGCCTCAAATAAAGGACTTGATCAGCCAGTAGCGGTTGTGACAGAAGACAGCAGCCAGCATGAGGCCTTGAGGTGTCGAGTCATCAAATCCAGTGGCAGAGAGAAGGCCGACTCAGATGACGACATGGACGTGGCCTCTCTCGTTACTGCCAAGTTGGTCAACACAACCATCACCCCCGAGCCTGAGCCCAGACAACATTCCAGCTTGAGGGAAAAAGCCAAACCCCGTGGGGGCCTTCGAACCGCCCTGTTTGAGAATGATAAAGATGCTGGGACAGAAAATGAACCTGTGAAAGCCGTCAGAGCCTGTGGCAACGCGGTGGAGCCCCCAGACACCATGAGCACTGGGGGAAAAAGTCAGCGGCCCTTCAGCCCCCGAGAAGCCTTGCGGTCTCGAGCTGTCATCAAGCCCATCATCATCGATAAGGATGTGAAGAAAATCATGGGCGGATCAGGAACTGAGATCCCACTGGAGAAGCCAAAGCCCTCCTCCAAGTCAGGGCCAAACAAAGTGACCAGCAGCATCACCATCTACCCCTCGGACAGAGCCGCCCCCGCCGAGGCCCCACGGGAGAGGCACACGTCCACCAGCAACATCCAGGTTGGGGCCGCAGAGCCGGCAGCTGCGGGCAATCATGTCAGCTCCCCCTTTGAGCTCTCCTTCCACAAACATGACATCACTATGCAGTTCACAGATGTGGAGAGAGTGGGAGATGGGCCCCTGAAAAACAGGCCCGAAACGGTGGTGTCTCGGAGTAGCATCATCATCAAGCCATCCGACCCTTTGGAGAGGAATAGCCACGTGCTCCCAGCGGAGACAATCAGCCCGAAAAGCCACAGTGCCCCCTCAGAAATGGGCTCTGCTGATGCCAGGCACGTTACTGTGCGGAATGCTTGGAAGAGTCGGCGGGACTTGAACTCTTGCGAAGAGTCCCCAGCTCGGATAGGGAAGAATATGGAGTCTACCAATGCCTACACACAGAGGGCCGCCACAGACTACTCAGACCTTGAACAGTCCAGGTCCTACCTTTCTGAGCAGGGCACTCGAAGGGTAGGAAATTCTGGAGATGCCCCAGAGCTGTCCTCCAGAAGGACCCAAAGTAGCCTCACCGTGGCCGAGGTGCTCACGCGTCGGAATCGGGCGGGAGACACGCCCACGGCTGCAGCCTGGAACCACTCGGCCGGCCTGGTGAGTCTCGCACCCTCCTGCACGTCCTGTCCCTCACTCCTTCCTCGTTTCGGCTGTGGGTCTCAAAGTTCTGGGAACTGAGGGGTGGGAGACACTGGGTAGAACTCGATAGCTCAGAAAACTGTCAAACCTTTCCTCAATCTATCTCCTCCACTTGGCCTCCGTAAGTGAAGGCCGCAGACAGCAGAGACAGCCAGTTTACTCGGGTTGCCAGGATGGCCAGGCTCCCCTGCTAACAAAGCAGCCGGTGAAAGGGAAAGCCTGGATTCTCTCCTGTTGCAGGGATGGGTTTGTCAGGTGAGGGAGCTCTGGGTTGCTTCTTTATTTTTTGGCTTTTGGGACACACCCAGAGTGCTTAGGGGTTACTTCTGGCTTTTGCACTCAGGAATCATTCCTGGAAGGTTTGGGTGGATCACATGTGGTTCCAGGGATCAAACCCAAGTTGGTTGCTTGCAAGATTCTCATCTCTCCAGTCCTGGGCTGCCTAGTTATGATGAATAGGATGAGGGAGGTAACACCTACCTACTTTCAAAGTTTTATGTCTGACCATTTTTTTTGTTTTGTTTTGCCTCAGTATCCGAGGGCACGGCTGGCACACTCTGTATAGATAAATGACAGATCATTCCAAAACGAGCTTGGCTTATCTGAGTGAGAGTCAGTGTCAAAACACCATCCAGTGGGGAAGCACCCAAAAGTGTCTTTCATTTCAAATTCCCTTCATTGTTGTTACTGGTAACAGGGGCTTGCACACACATCTGGCTGAGATTTTTATCTGCGGTGGTTGCTGGGAACCCCACAACAGCTGTGGGTGCTGTATGCTCAGCTGCAGTGCTTACCAGAGCTTGCACGCCTATTAATTGTCCTTCTTGCACAAGTACTGTTTGAGGCTTGCATTAGAGGCACACAGGCTATGGTTTGGTGCTCGCTGGGGTCACTGCAGTGTTCACACACACTGTTGCCAGAGGTTGCACTTTCTGGCCATGGTGTGGACACATCTTTGAACCAGGATAGTATTCTCTCACCCCCTCTCTTTTTTTTTTGGGGGGGGGCAATACCTGGTGATGCTCAGGGCTTACTCTGTCTCTGCGTTCAGGAAATACTGGTGGTGCTCAGGCGACTATATGGGGTGCTGGGGTTTGAACCTAAGTGGGCCATGTGCAGAGCAAGCAATCTACCCACTGCGCTATCTCACCAGCCTCCAGTATCCCCTTTTTGTAAGGGCAGGTGACCACGACAATTTGTAAAGCCCTGTTATGTCTGTAGATATCTGATGTCTGAAATGCACTTACCTACTACTTCAGTTTTTCCATTAGCCCCATGAATAAGTATTTTTTTAGATAAGAAACAGGGTTAGAAACATAATGTGCCCAGTTCACACTATTAAATTACTATATAGTTAATATTTGAATTTAATAGTTCTTATCTTTAAGTTTTATATTTTTTGTATTTTTTTTTCCGGTTTTGTGGCCAGGATCGAACCTGGGGCCTCACACATATGACATGTGTGTTTCTACTGAGCTGTCACTGGCTCCACAGCTGCATTCTGGGATTTACATGCTTGTAGGGCAGGATCTGGGAGAATATAAAAAAAGATATTCTCAGAATCCTGGGAGTATGGAAAGATAGGTTAGGTCCCTGAAACACTGGGATGGACACATACATGCAGTTTAATTGAAGTTAATAGTGAGTAAGTTCCAGGCATGCATTTTGGAGAAACACAGGCCTTTATTATATAAATATATGTAAATATATATGTACATTTATATATATAAAGCTATCAAAGCACCTGCCTTTCATATATATAATCAAAGAAGATGAAGAGCGGGTGCTATCTGGATACACCCTGCCCACTGTACTGCCTCTGTGGGCCCTTTTGATAATTTTTCTGAGGTCAGTAGAGAGGAGAGCCCAGACAGACCATCACGTAACTGCATGTATGTTCTGACCCGAGCTCTAGCCAAATTATAAGTCTGGAGGCTCACGACTGACCAAAAGCTGGAAAGAAAGAGCTGTCCAGCTTTTTCAGCACATTTTTCTGTCCTTCCACCCTCTTCAGAAGACATGATCTCCCCCAGAAACATCTAGCAAGCTCAGTACTCAAGGAGCACTTTGTGCTCTGCTCCCAAGTCCCCCTCCCAGAGCCCCACCTCTATCGGCTTCTGGTTGGTTGTGAGCATCTGGTCTCCTTAAGATGTTCCTAGCAGGTTGGATTCCCAAGTTCGCTGATTCCAAGAAATGTTTTTAGTCTGAACTCAGGCCAGAGCTTATCTTTGCAATTATGCGGTGATCTGTCTGCCATTCTCTTGCTCTCTCCCCTCACCTTCCTCATCCTCCCTCTCCTCTACCCTCCCCCTCGGCCCCCACATTACAGAAGACCACTGGGTGTCAAGTCAGGGTGTCTCCTTCTCTTTACCTTATGCCCCATGATTCACTTTGGTCATCTGGCACAGGAGGAAGGTGAGGACTGCACACTCAGTATCTACAAGCGACTGCACAACTCCCTGGAACGGTCTGAACTGCCCGCCAAGCAGGGGCTGCCAGAGCTCGGGCGAGTACGGGCCGAGGAACGGTTACGGCCCAGCAGGCCCTGTGCTGAGGAAAACTGAGCCAGCTGGTGAGGACTTCATCTCCTATGCTCCTGTTTCTCAGCTGTTCCACCTCCCTGCCCTGTGACGGATCCCAAGCCAGTTGACCAGGCTAGACTCCAGGCCTTGGCTGAGACTGGCAGAAAGCCAGGCTGTGGCTCAGGGCATTTTGCCTGTTGGCTGGATGGGATCAGAGACTACAAGTTGGACTGTCTCCTAGACCCAGCCCTCCCTGACGCATGAGTCCTCTCCTTGTCCCTTTACCCCAGATAGAATGGACCATTCTGGCCCCCAAGGGGGGAAAGATACCCAGATCCTTTGTTATCCCCTCCCCACAGCAGCAGCTGAAAGCTCTCTGGGTTATCATAGGGCAACCCCTTCTCTTCGTCCATGTTCTGACTTGTCTTCTCATTGCATCCAGTTCACTCTGTTTGCCCTAAGGCCACATACCAAGACTAAACCATCAGATCCATCTAGGGGGCTTTCGTTCCTTTTCCCTTTAGAGTTGAGAGGTCTGTGCTGCCTCTAAGAGACATTATAGGATTCCCCTTTAAGTTGATGCTTCTCTGACCTGGCCCCTTATCTAACCATTGTTTCCTGGGGGCAGAGCACACGGGTACCCATCTGTTGGAATGACATCCCTCCTCCTGGCCCGGTGCTCTGCTCATTTTCCAAAGGCACCTGCAAGTGCACAAGCCTCATGCATTGTTCTCTGGGCACCAATAATGCTGCTCCTCTCCTGTGGCTGGAGACTTCAGGCTGACTTCATTGTTTCCACCTTAGGAATATCTCCAGACTAAACTGGGCCTGACCCAGAATACTTTGCCTTCTAAGAAGTGCCCAGCAAAGGGAAAAGCAGACAAGAAGAAGCAATTTCCCTTTAGTCACTCCACAAAGCAATAGCTCCATGAAAGGCATGGACTTTGTTCCTCCTCACCCCCATGGAGGAGGCCTCGCACTTTACTGAGCTGATGCATTCCTATGGAAGTGGGTCCATGATTTCTGCCAAGGCTGTCAGTAAAACGACTTAATTGGAGAAAAGGTGATACATGTTCATCTGGGGCTGCAGGCACGTATCTAATTCCAAACACAGCAGATGTTTTAGGACGCCATATAAATAAAAATTGTTTAGTTTCATTATACCAGTCACAAGAAAAAAAAAAAAAGAGAACCTTATCTTTTTGGCAGTGTTTTTTTCTATGGCGTTTTCTCAGTTCAAAGGGATGTTTAGGAAGCAGCTGCGCTTGCCTACAAAGATCTCACCAATATATTGAGAACATTTAGGAGGCAAGATATAGCTGAATTGTTCACTTTCTTTTGCATGAGTTTCCTTCCCTAAAAAATGAGGTCTTTGAAATGGTCTCTCTGGGCCCTAAATCTGGCATCCTAGGGTTCTCCTGTCTCTAGTACTCTTGCTTTTAGAAGGGCGTCAGCTACATGGGTTTGGGGAATTTGTTTTCTGTCCTGCCTTCATTTTGGTGGGCCCTTTTCAGACTCCCCAGGTTTCACCGTCACGCGGTCAGAGAATCTCCCTCGGCCTTCATTTCCCAGTCTATAATATATAAAGGAGTTAGATTAGATGATGTCTGTTGCCCTTTACCAAGCTTGCTCAGTGCCACACAGAATGTTTCTCCTATCATGAGTTGGTTTCTCTCCGGCTCTTGCACTGCCTGAGCCATCTTTCTTACTGCTGTGTAGGACCAGCATTCATCCTGTCTGCATCAGACTTGGGAGTCCTGGGCACACCGACCTTATTTTGATGAAAAGGCATGCTTTGTCTGAATTTCAAGTTCCATACTTGGAATTTAATCAACCTAAGAGCATTACCATATGGCCTGCCTTCCCTCTCCAAATCCCTGCCTCCAATATTCAACTTAAGCTGGATTTAAAACAAAATTTTGGTTTATGATTATTTCCATTGTTACTGCGAAGTGGTTTTAAAAATCCCTTCATTCAGCTTCTCTAGGTCAGCTTGCTCAAGGCTGCTGTCCCCTCACTTGTAGCCTCCCTGTCATTCTTCACAGGTTGGCAAACCTCAGTGTCCAAAGGAAACTGACCTCTATGTGGTCAACAGAGGGCATAGGAAACTCAATCTGTGGCTCTTCTTTGCTGATGGAAACAGAAGGGCACTATGCCATGCCTACAAAGATCTCACCAATAATATTTGGGCCTTAGAGCCCTGGATTCTGGTGCTGTAGCTTCTGGTGCCAAAGTCTGGATTTTTTCCCTTTCCAGTAGCACTAACAATCCACTCCCCAAGATGCTCTATGGAAGAGATAAGGCTGTGGTACCCTCCTGCTGGGACAAAGTCTGAGTGCAATAGGTTTGATTTTAAATGCTGTTCCTTAATCTGCATGTTTTCTAGAACTGCTCTACAATATTTTATTTTGAAACAACCCTCAGCATTGCAGGAAGTGCCACTTGTGAGTTAAGAGTGGAGGGCTCAGTTGCTCTGGCCTTAGATGGCTGGCTCAGCTCGCTCTCCAATTCCAAAGTTGGAGGACATTTTTCTGAAGAGCAATTGAGGTGTGACCATCTGGACCCAGACCTCACCTGGGGGGGTGGGGGGCGGGGGGTAGGGGGTGGGGGGGTGCCTGGAAGAAACTTCTAAATACAAGAGATCTTATAGTCAAATAGTTGTCTGATCAAGCCAAATATTTCCAATGCCATAGTCAACACACCCACTTTTTATGACAAGCCTCTTCTGCAGCTTGGCTAACTCCAGATTTTACTGGCAGGTGTACGGTTTTGGGAGGCTTCTCGTGAGGCCAGGAAACCTGTTGCTGCCTGTTTCTTGCCACTTTATGATAAAAAAAAAAAACACCAGAGAAGGCTGCAGGGATGGTGGGCAAGAAAGCCACTTTTGCTATGAGTGGCAATGAAATGATTTGGGTTAAAAGGGATTTGCAGTGGGGCCAAGGACTTCATCCTTGGCCACAGGCAAGCTTGCACATAAATTACATCCTGTTGTGGGATGTATATGGGGGTCCAATAGACTTGTCATCCATGGGGCAGTCTTAGCTCTAGTGGGTCTGTGCCAAGTGCTACCACTACCCAGTAAAGGAAAAGGAGCCCAGCTCTGGACCCCTCACTGCCTTTGTTGGTGTGGGGTTTCTGTTGGTGATACTCCAACAAGACTGCTGTGGAAGAACTGCTTTTAGGGATGATCTTTTGAATACCCCAGGTGGGGAACAGGGTTTCCTCAAAGCCTCCCAACCAAGATCATAGGAAAGGGGCCCTATTTTCCTGCTGCTTCACAGCTCAAAACATGTACTGAATGGAATGTATTTTTAAGAGAATAAAGTCTATTTTTTTGTATTTTAAGAATGGGAGGGCTAAAGAGAGAGGTAGCCCCCAGATAAACTTATTGCATTATAGGTCCCTTTCCTGGGGGCCTCAGTATCTGTTGGTCCAAATCTACTTGCTCAGGCAGGTGCTCTGGTCTCACCCCTGCCTCTTGGAGTCCAGGTGCAGCAGCTTCCACATTCCTGCTCCAAGCTCAGGACCAACGAGACTGGACCCTGTCACTGGAAACCAGGGCGAAGCCATGAGCAGTGACTTGGGGCTCCTTGGGTGCATGTGTCTAGTTGAAGCTGCCTGTCTGCATGTATCCTCTGGCTCTAATGCTGTCTGTTGGCTCTGCAGCACAATATGTAACCAATAAAGCTCCCTAGTTTCCATGTGTGAGTCAGTGATGCCATTTTTTGTTGTGTTCCTCTCTGCGTACACTGGTCATCAAGCTATTTCACTAAAAACAACCAATTACTAGTAACTGATGCTGTAAGGACTAGAAATATAAGATGGGACTTGGAAAAGGACATACCTTGACTCACATAGCAGCTTTAGTGTTGCCACAATTTAATTTTTACATTTGTCTTTTATCACACAAACACAAACCAAAAAAACCCTCAAGCTATATCTATGCCCTAACTTTTCATGAGATAACTCGCAAGGAGAAAGTAAAAATGTAAAAATAACTTTAACTCAGGAGTCACACTGCAAGAGAAGACTAGAAGAAGCTCCAGCCTCTCCCGGGCATCTCCCAACAACTGCTGAGAGTCAGTCTTTGGCTCTGCTATGTTACTGCATACAGATTCCTAAGAATTGCCTATCTGGGTACTCTTCTCTGGAATGGAGGGATATAAATTCTTATGAGCTAGATCAGACAACCAAATGGAAACAGTCCACCCATTTCCCACCACACTAATCACATTCTTCAGTTGTTTTATAAGTTTCTTATATTTGATCTGCTTGACCTACAGCTTTATACCATCAGCACCCTACCATCCTAGTGGAGGGACTCTTAAGTCCACATTGCTTCTATACAGTCAATCAAACCATTTTCAACGACTAAATATGGATAAAATAGTATTTCCAAAGGAATAACAATCACAGAAAACTAATTTTATATGAAGTTTTATTCTCAAAATATTAAAAAAAAAAAACTTCACACCAAGAGATGTATTCTTACAGCACTTGCTTGCCTTAGTCTTTTAAGAACAGACATCCACACTAATGGACAAGTGCCTCCCTAGCTCTAGTCACTCGAAGGAGGTGGCCGCCTGCACCAGATCCAGAGCACCATCTTTGGATTCCCATCAAGAGCTCCTGCAGCTGCTCATTCTTAATGGAATCCAGTATTGCTAGAAGAGCTTTGCTTACATAGCAAAAGACAAACATTGGCCTCTTTCCTGAAAGGTTTATCTCACATGCTTGGGGACTGCTGTGCAGGGACGCCTGGTGTGGCCTGACGAGGCAAAGTATACATGGCTCCCAAGAACTGGTCTGCAATTCTTCCTGCTTCTCGCAGCCCACTCAGCAGAGCTCCATGAACTGTGGCTGGGTAGTTACGGATTGTATGTTCTCCAGCAAAGAAGAGACGTGGAATTGGCTATTGGGGGAGGGGTGGGAGAGTAAAGAAAATCAGCAAGTTGATTCTCAGTAAACCTTTGATATACTGGAAGGACCATTGTCATAAGATACACTGTCATACCAAAGAGGATGTCCCTTTAGGTGTCCCTTTCAGCAGGTATTTCCCTATAAGGCGACAGAAGTTAGAAGTGGGGCAACTCGAGTAACCTTAGTTTTCTAAGGTGATGTGTAAACTGTCTTATTTATTGATTCCACTCAGAGAATACAGTTGTAAACCTTTCATTGTCTCATGGATTTACTCAGGTATATTTCTGGCCCTCAGTGCAAGCAGGCTTGGCCATCAAGTCCTGAGGAATCCTTGACTGCTCTCTGCAATAGGGTGTGGAATCTAGAAAAGGATCAAGGGTATTTATTATTTTACTTTTGGGGAGGGCCGGAACAATAGCACAGTGGGTAGGGCTTTTGCCTTGCAAGTGGCCAACATGGCCGACCCGAGTTTGAGTCCTCCGCCCCTCTCAGCCTGGCAAACTACGGAGAGTATCTCACCTACATGGCAAAGCCAGGCAAGCTACCCATGACATTCGATATGCCAAACACATAAAATTGTCACAATGGAGACATTACTGGGCCCGCTTGAGCAAATCGATGAACAATGGGAGGACAGTGACAGTGACTTTTGGGGAGGTTTGGGTCATACCGAGCAGTGCTCAGGGCCTACTCCTGGCTCTCTGCACCAGGCTGTATGTGGAGCTGGAGGAATCAAACCAGGATCTACCCCTGTACTACCTCTCCAGCACCCAGGTTGTTAGGGGCTCATATGGAGGCATCTAGAAATTAAGAATGCAGCAGCCAAGAAATCTGTAGCACTGTCCTCCACCGGGCACCAGTAACGTCTCCATTGTGAGACTTATTACTGTTTTTTTGGCATATTGGATACGCCACAGGGAGCTTGCCAGGCTCTGAGCGGGACAAAGGAATCAAACCCGGGTTGGCTTTGTGCAAGGCAAACGCCCTACCTGCTGTGCTGAACTGGGCAAGAAATCTGAATTAAGAAAGAATAGGTTTATACACTGGACTCTTCCAATTCAAACAGATTCAAACAAATCTAAACAAAGCTAAAGCATGATAAGAGAAATTAAATACTATCTATTCTTTCTTTGTGCTACTGAATATACAAACAAGGTCTATTTAAGAATGAAAACTCTAAAATCTTGGGAAAAAAAAAAAAGGCACATTTCTAACCCGAGATCTTGAGATACTGGCCTCTTCCCAAATAGTTTACCCATTTCTCACCTGTGGAGCTCCAGGAA